CAGAATCAAACGCGAGAACTTCTATTGACCAGATAAAAAGATACATCTATTGTTAAAAACTGCCCAACGAAACAAATTTGAATAATTCATTTTTAAAAAAGTACAGATTCAACAAAATATCTAAGTTCCCAGTGACCGATGTTTATTCATATTTTTCAATTTTTTTGTGATTATTTTATTTATATATAAAGTTGTAGTCACACGGCCTTATGATGCTTCCGGAGTGCGAACCCACGTTTTATTTATATAACCCGATCATTTCCTTTGATTCAGTTAATTATGGTCGAGGATATAAACATGAGGTATCATAAATAAAGGCAACCATGATTAATGGCGCTGAAGACAAATAAATGTTGTTTTTTTTTTAATCAATTAAATTGAGATTAATTAACAAGACCGAGTTATAATTTGCCCATAAATGTGGTTTTTTTAATTAATACCAATTTAGTTTCTCATTTTTACTCCTACACAAAAAATGTAAAATCGGTATAGTAGTTATGTTTCAAGAACATGCATTTAAAATATTCCTACATATACAAATTTTAAATACATAAATTTTGCGTTTCTATTACTTTCCATTCATTAATATGTGTCGGTTAGCGACATAGCGACAAATACTTTTTGTTTTTTTTTATATATATAAAGATATTTCAATAGTAATAACTGTTAAGTAACTTGTGGCACAAATGCGGGCATCTATCCTAAAGATAAGGGCATCTATGAATGAAGTAATATCATAAAATTCTAAAAACTCACATATCCTTTTTACATTAACCCGTTCAGAATATCTGAAAAGGTGAAATTGGCGCTCAGCTATGGAAGTTTAAATGCCAGGACAGCATACAATATAAGAGCTGGCGAAAGGAAAGCTTCGAATGACAGTATACCTACGTCTATGTTACATAATCTGCAGAGTCAGACAGCGCGGCGCGGTCACTGCACCCGGCGGCCTTGACATACTGCGTGTGCTTACCTCGGCACGCGGAACACATAATACATTTAGGCTGCGTTCAGACAACGAACATTCAGTCCATCATACAAAAAGGCTGCGGCTACCAGCCCTGATAATCGGCGAAAACTGCCCGCATGGCGACATCCAGGAGCTCCATTTTGATTCATTCTGCCGTCTACTATTTCATTTATTCTCGACTTTTTATACACCATGACACAATTTTTCTGCATTTTTAAATATTCCTGTTGATACTGTCTTCATAATGCGAAATGTTGAATTTTAATATTTAATATGGCAATGAAAACTTCCTATATCTTTTTTAGATGTGTGGAAAGACAAAATTTTCTTATTATAACAAGAAACATAATAAAAGTTCCTAGTTGTTTCAACTAATCTCTTGTGCTTTATATGTCGTTCTAGTCGGTTCTTTATTACTGAAGATTGTGGTTGTGGGATTCATAAGGTTAAGCACTGTTTTCCTCCATATGTCCCGGTCCATAGCTGCTGTTACTACTTGGTAGAATTTGGTGGAGGAGGTGACCTCTTTCACTTGGTCAGACCAAAAGTGTTGGCGAGCAGAGTCGTGTTCTTTTGCCCTCCATATTGCCAACAATAACAAGTTTTTATAGATTGTCATCTCGATACATTTTTGGCCAAAATAGAAATACATTGCTTGCGTCTGGAATTTGCCTAGAGAGAGTGTTTTTCGGGCTCTAGTAAATTATGTAAAGCAAAATTTTACTAACATGCGGTATCTGTGCTAAGGTTCTGTAATTACTACAATCTTGATCCCTTCTTATCCAGTTGAATAAAAATCGACTTGATCATCACACAGGCCATCAGGCTATCTTTTGGTCCTCCAAATATAGTTGCAAAGATTTAGTCCCACGCCTGTGGGATTTTTTCATAAGATAGACTTTAGACATCTTAACACAGAGTAAACAATCCTATGCATGCGAGTTTTTGACACTCCTCAGCGAATGACGGTCCAAGTACCGATACGAATACTTACTTACTTCAAGAAACTACTTTCTACTCGATTCTAAAGTATCGATGTCAAAAGTGCTTGGTATCGAAAGAAGAGTAGCGAGCAAATACTTGTATTTACACGCTTGGTGCCTTTTGTTAGTACGATGCAAGGGTTTTTTTTGAAACAAAACGTTGAGTATGTCAAAATTATGAAATGATTTAACATTCTGTTATTTTATTATAAACAAAATGTTTTTCTTCTTTAGTCGAATTAGGACAATTAATTACTATCATACAAAATCGTATAGATTATTTGACAACATAACAACAACAAAACGAAATGATTTATCTATGAGATTCTATATCATTCTAATCATCATTCGTTCCAAATTGTGACTTTAAAAGCTACGCAATTCCATAAATCACTATCACGACCGCTATACCTACGTATGAAATTAATTGTGAAAGATTCGGGTCGACACCTTCTTTGAACTTCAATGCTGAGATCCGCTTTATATCTTCCTGGCTTATATGTCTTATACCTACAAATTAAAAAAAAGTTGTTTTGAAGATCACATTTACTCTATCACTCGCTACGTCGTCGTTCGTCTAGCACCAGGAGCTCTATTTTTAATTCACTCGTTTAAAATCTGCTAGCCGTATACGATTTAATCACTCTCAATTTCCAAATAGCATGACGCCGTTTTATAGTATTTTTGAAACGTTCGTCTGTAGGGTGGCCAACATGATACGAAATATTGAATTTTGTTCTTCGTATTAGATGGAAAAAAAAATTGCCATATATATAAACAACAAAGTGTGTTCGTAAACAAAACGGTCATAAAACGTAATTTATTTATACGTCATTTATTCATTTTATATTTTGACGTTTATTATATCACTCGTATCAGCGGTCGCTTAACGACGAGTGGTTCGTACCACTCGTAGCAGTCGAACGAATCAGAAATGGTGAATTTGTTATGTCGAACGAAAATCGGTAGAAAACAGCGCTCGACGCGAGTCGAATTATTCAAAAATAGAACTTCAGTTAATTGATACTACTCATAGTAGTAAAGAGAGACTAAAATAGGGAATTTCTTATGTCAAATGTAAATTAGAACTAAGTGAGCGGTGGACGCGAGTCGAATGATTCAAAATAGAGCTCTCCAGTTAAATCACTCATTTGAAATCCTATCTGAATGTAGCATATGCATAAGTCTTATTTGATTGTTTAATACCTATTTTAATTCGACAAAAATATTGAATTACTATTTTGATTTCCATTGATGACAACTAATGCATAACTACAAGGCGCTAGCGACAGTCTTGTTAGCCATTTGGTGTAGTGTTTCGTGTATCTTCTTTTGCTGTCATGTAGCTAACGCTTACTAAATCGTGTGTCTATTTTCTTGTACCTAACAAGTGAGAAAGCCTGACTTGTATCTATACTTCGATCGAAAATTTTGAATAACAACCTAAAATATTTGTTCATTCGAAAATGTTAATATTAGTAAAGCTTTTATTTTTATTTCAATGATAAGCTTAATTTTATTAAACACCTTCAGAATGGTCACTAAACATTCCAAACGCCTCTCACCTATTTACCGTATCATGTTAAAAATTAACTAGAGGTCGCAAAGAACTTTGCGACATTTTTGTTTTCGAATGATTCCAGTTTTGCGATCTCATAACACCTCTTTACGATTTCCTGACTTAATCAATGTCAAACATACGTAATAATAGTGATCGCAATACAGTTTGAGAAACAAATGAAAAGTAATAGGATGTTTTAAATTTGTTATGAACCTCTTTAGCACGGAATCCCGAAGTAGTGGTTTTTCAAAGATCAACATAAACGAAAACTTATTTGGAGGCTACACTAGATTTAAAATTTACTTCTCTAACTCCTCCAAGTAGCTCTGACTAACGTTTCTCTACAAATGGTGACCTGTAAAACCTTGAAGGTGTTCACCATGGATCGGTGTTACCCCATCACCATTGCAATATAACGACCTCGCACATAAACTAGGCCAGGCGACACTGATTAAGGTGTGAAGTTTGCTGAAACCGTTACCGTGATAGTTGCATAAATTTGTAATGAAAAAAAAATCATTCAAATAGACCTCTTTGAAAAAAGAAACCTTGGTTTTTATTTAAATCCAAGAACAACTTTTTTTAATATGGCACGATGTTTTGTAAAATTTCTAATTTTGTTTTGATTTGCTTTATTGTTCGGCGGTGACACTAATTCAGCGACATATTGTTTATTAAATTGTAAATAAAAGACACATGAGAAGTTAAATCTCTTTATTACGTCACTAGATAACATATACAGTGTATAAAACACGCATCGCACTAACAAAGCTATGAGAGTAATGTCATCTCATATAACAGATACCATTACTGGCCGGAATACAGTTGCCTACTTAGGCAACTAAGATTTCTTCTGAATTCCGGCTAGGTGAGAATATCAATACCCCTGGGATGCATGACCCGGTGACTTAGCAACTCTTATACTCCAGATGAGGGTACATTGTAAGAATTTTAGTAAGCAGGCATTCATGGACTCCTCAGACTTTAAAAATGTTGTCCTCTAATTTCAATACGTCGATATAAAAAGAATATTACCTTCTGAAGCCTATTATAAATTAAAAGTAGTCTGTGACTATCAGAAACTAAACACCGGAGAAACGGTACATTTTCGACATATTAATTATAGGTGACAGATATTGGTGAATATCCTGTGTGACACAAAGAGTGCCATCATCATGGGCATGCCTCAAGGTTCAAAAAAAGACCATTGCTTTACGTAATTTACATTAACGATCTTCCTCACTTTACAAAGAATATACGTATATGCGAAATGAGATGTCTGAAGCGTATTGATAATTTTGGTGTTTCCTCCTCAGCTAGCATTAGAAGCCACTTGTTTTAATATGCTGTGAGGTAAACACAGATAAGCTTATTTTATACCGATAAGGATCATTATGAAACACTATTTTCTTATAGTCAAAACGAAAATATTACAAAACACATTATTTAAATTGTTATACTGAAAGCGTGTTTATACGTAACAACGATGCAACTGTGGTAAGAAAAAAATTGTTTGTGTTCCATTTTTAATGCTAATCAGATTTACCACACGTTGGCGAACGAAATGTGACACGTGTTATGTAAAATAATTGGATATTCTAGATATTCTTCATAAAATATCTATACGCTCTGTTAACCTAAAGAGAAAAGAGTAATAATCTCTTAAACAGCAAATTGCACAAACGTCCATTAAAAATTTCATTAGTTTAAATTGACATTACTAGAGTATAAGGGCATCATGTAACCTAAGAAAGGGACATAAATATAACATTTTAAGAAATTAAATGTTCTTAATGAAATTTGCTTAAAAATCCACTTAGTCCCTGGCAACCTGAGATGGGATTCGAACCCATGACCTTTCGCATTGTCAGTCTGTCAGATTATTCAGGGCTTCATTTCGACTCAATATGGGCTACAGTAACGCTGTAGAAGCGCTGGTTCAATATCTCTCAATTAGAAGGCTACAGCTACGACTGCCTTATTTTATATCTCCGATATTTGATTATTTAAAGATGTTCTAAAAACGTATGAACCAGACATCTATAAAAATTTACAATAAAATATTAACAAATTTAGACACACAGAACCAAGCGGTAGGCAAAGATCCTGTAACATTGCTTAAACTACCCGATCCGGTTTTTTTGGAAATAACAATAACTTGTTCAATTGAATCCGATCGCACAAAAAAAATACACTTTGCCGGTAAATGACACATGTCAGTTTTGTCAAAATATTTTCCCTTCTTCTAAACACTCAATTTAAAAATTACTTTGACCGCTAACGTATCTTCACAGTGACACGAAACATAAAATCGGCCTTTACCAATCGGTCGTCTGTATTGTATTGTCGTTACATACAGCCTTACAGTTGATTGGTTTTGAACGATGAATTTGAAGTTTAGTGTAACCGGTATAAAAATATTATCTTTAGTATATTTAATAACAACATTTAGTTGTATTTTTGTGTATATTTGAAATGGCGTACTTAGACCTGGTGCAGACCTTTGATCGGTTTTGTACCATCTGCTTTTTAATAAATATAAACAATCTAACACATGATTTATTGTTTCAGACGAGCGTCGATGATGTCGCCCCGCCAGCTGATGCGAAACTCGAATATGACGCAGAAGTGGCAGCGGCGCGAGATATCCAACTTCGAGTATCTTATGTTCCTCAACACTATTGCAGGTAAAATCCTAGCCGAGACAATATGCTGACTTTACTACAAGCCTCATAAATGTTGTCGCTAATTTCACTGTTACATTTAAATATCAACTCAAATACGGTATTTCGCTGGTAGACTTTCTAGTAAATTATTCATACAGCAACTAAACTACATATAACTGAATTTCAAAAAAATTACAAACTTTTAGGTTCAGTATCAGTCGACCGACGACACTACGATCCCCTTAAATCACTGACATCGTTTGTAATACAGAGATAATAAAAAAAAAATTACAGCTCGTTCTCAAATAGCTCAGATGATAGAGTTCACTTCGATCATTCATCAAGCGGATGAAGATGCAGTTGAAAAAAACAAAAATAGTGACGATTATCTTATGCTAAAGTAAACGACCCTTCGATGCGAGACGAATGTTTAAAAAATAAAGCTCCAAGAAATGTCTGAAACAATTACCAATACTAGGTTACTAACAGAACTACAAGTAATTACTGCAGAATTTTGTGGCTTATGGTGCTACTCAATTTAGTTACTAGTGTGATCACTGATGTGACGAATTTATCCTGAGGCCAAAAAAGGACCGGGCTCATAAGATAATATTATCAGTGCCAAACCGAGAAATTATATTTTTTCATCAAAACAATATGATCATAAATACATTTTTGAATCTATTTCAAAAATGGTGTTTAGAAAGTAAATCAAAAAAGGGCGATTAGTACTACATAGCCTATAATGACTATGCCTCCGGCAACAAATTTTTTTCGGCGTTAACCCAAAAGGCAGATTCCTCAAAGGTTCCTTGTATACTTTTTTCTTTGCCTGTCATTTTATCAAGAGAGAGCCACACGATATCTAGTGCATGCGACAACTAAATTGAATGAACCGCCTGCGCTAAACGTAATGCTTATTTTTCAATAAACGATCATGCATTGTACGTTCTACATGTGTAACCGGTAGAGTATTATTGAGGTTGTTCCGCAATGATGAAATGCAACCCCCAGGATATTGCGACAATTGAGTGTGAACTCTATTGAAAGGAGATAAAAATTGGTCGTCCGGGCTGATATATTGAAAAAAAAAAAAACTTCCAATTGTAGGAACTTTTACAATTGTTTTCAAACGGGACATACTCGTATAATACGGCACGTGTCAATTAAAGAATTTCGTGACGTTGATCACTTAAATAGGGAAACGCGTATCTCCCAATTTGCATACAATGAGTTGGACTGGTCAATTCGCAAATTGCCCGCTAATGAGGAACTATTAATTTGGCTTATGTAACAATGCGAATGTAACATGCGATTGAATAATTAACTCGCAGTCTTTGCTAGCAATTGCTATACTTAGTTTTTGTTTTCGATGTCCTGAGTTGATATACGAGTAAATAAATGATAGTATTTTTTATGTCTTAATGAGATGTTTTAATAATCTATTAATTTTTTACTTTATAATTACTGATTATGAATTCATCTGCAATATCGCCATCCATATCTTGATTTTTATTGTATTTATTTTTAACTGTAGTAGTGTATTTATTTTAGTATAGTGCCCATTTCTTTGCGTGTATAGACCAATTTTCAAAATTGTTTTACTCGAAAGCTTTTTGTCTTAAGTGATTCCATCAAATCAAAATCGAATAATTAGATTTTCTGCTTTCTGTCAAATAAGAAAAATACACCGTGACATATTTAAAACAAGCAAATCATAGCTTATCTTGTTTTTCTATGATAATGGTAAGATAACATGAACATTATTTTTTTATATTTTATATATGTCTATTTTATCTATTATATTTGATCCACTTTGTCTCTAGCATTCTGGGATGGGACTCGTGGATTTTTAAATCATTTCTCATTAAGAATATTTTTCAGTATATCATTGTGTATGCAAAATTGATCAATTATAATTACTAGAATAAATTTTCATCTTTATCGAAAGTTGAAATATTTGTAACAATATTTATTTCGTGTGTGTTGGGTGAATTGCCTGAACGTCGATGAAAATACACTCAGTAGTAGCGAAAAAGTACTTGAAAAATTCGTCAATCCTGTTAGATCATGGGTAGCTCAGGGGTTAGAGCAGGTGCCCGAATTGCGAAAGATTATGGGTTCGAATCCCATCTCAGAGTGCCAGGGACAAAGTGGATTTTTCAAGCATTTGCCAATAAAATTCGCTTTATTAATTAGAGCCTCCTGCAAAAGATTTACAAAAATACGAAAAATTTATTTAGAAATTATGCTTTTTTTACAGAAAGTATAACCTGAATACAAGTTTTCAAAATTCTACGTTTTTTTTCTTTTGTTAGTTCAACAAAACGTCGCAGTAACATAAATCCACATGGAAGACCCATTCGTATTCCAGTGCTAAATTCACAGATCATCAATACTGTTTACAATCCACACATTTCTTTGAACTATTTATTGTTTAATCTGATACTTTGAGAAGCGAATTAACACCATATTACAAACTAGAACTCACTATTAACTATGATAATTAAGTCAAATCACAAATATTTAATCACAAATATTTTAATACTATAGGTATGAAAATATACAAACGCCAAACATATATTGTAAATTCTCGCCAAAAAACTCGATTGAAACGAAATAGAATGTCTAATGGCTTTGGCAAGCAAACACAAACACAGCTCATGCAAACAAGACATACGAATCTATTCATACCTTTTCAATACCTCCATAGCTTTCCTACTCAACATTATTGTCTGTTGTTGTTTTCAACACCGAGTACGCTTACGTCACACGCGACTGTCACTTGTTTCGCGATTCATCTTACCCGCCACAAGACCACACTATACTATTCTCAGAAACTAACAAAGAGACACACGGTAACAGCCACAGCCTCTTTCACCACAATGTCTTTCAACGAAAAGCGAGTACGAACGAAACCCGAGTTTTTATTGTTAATTTTCGCGTAATATTTTCATTGTTAATGGTCCGCTGGTGCGACTGCGAAAGTTGACAACCGTTTAACGAATGGAACGTCTCGATCTCGATGCTCGACAGGGAAAAGTAGCAATCGTGACGACAACAATGCACGATTAGTGTTAACAATGAAATAACAGTTGTCACTGCATCGGTCACCGGATAACGACCGCTGATACCACTATCACAAGACTGCCGGCCGTGCGTTGAATATCATCTTCAGAGGTCAAAGTGTACCTTGCCCGAGCTTAAACTCCTCGCAGCTCATTATGTCCTAGTACAACACAGAAATGCATATCGCGACAACAGATAATATACAGTTTATTTTGGTCCGCAATTGTGTTTATGTAACATTATCATTCCGCCAGTGGCTTTTCCCGCGTGGCTTACACGATGGCTTGACAGCACTTTTATCCCTAGGTGGTTCCCTAAGGATAAAAGTGATAAAGGTATTAGTTGCATTAAAATACTTCATAATTATGTTAATCCAAGCTAAGAATTATACGTATACTGGATTACATCAAAATTCTTTCAGTAACTTTTACTTGAAAAGTAACAAACATACATCAATCCTCACAACCTTTCGCATACAAAATATTAGTAGGTTTCGATGCAGTTACAGGATTACATTAAGCGACTAACTTAGTACGGGCATATTATAAGAAGAGATGAAATTAATAGTAGTCGATGAAACTGAAAATCGATAGATGAAGAGAAAAAAAAAGTTCACAGAAAAGACTGTGTGAGGAATGACTTGAAAGCAAAAAGAGAGTGAAGGAATGAACTTGGAATATTAACAGTAGCCTCCCAATTGATATACAATTGTATACTTAATGTTATAAATAATATTAGCAAATTTAAATATTAAATTCTTTATTCACGCACATAGGTACTCATTCAACTATAGTACACAAAAAACCTAAACACAGGCTTCTCCACGCACCACACCACACACACTCACACACACTCACACACACATAAACACACTCACTCACACACACAATACACACACTTCTAAAGTTTTTAAGACCTTTACCCTGCTTATCTTAAGTTTTTCAGTACGAAGCGTCCTCAGTTCACATTCCTTTATAAACAATTTACTGAGGAATCGTTGGCCCTGATAATACAGATTCTCTAGTTTCAGGGTCAGAGATCTATAACCTGAAGCAATATGTATAAAACCTAAATTAAGCATTTGCCCTATACTTAATAATAATATAAATAGCTGTACGTAAAATTTTGGGTTTGAGTGAATAAATAAATTTTATTATTATTACATAATTGCATTAAACATAGTCATGTACACAATATTAATACTAAAAACAAAGATAAACTTGTTTTGCCGTCATGTAGGCTAAAGAAGGTTCTATCAACATTTATGGATCAAGGTATACGAGTACACCACTATAACAAAATTCCTATTGAAATTTTAAATTTACCATTGCCTAAATTAAAGACCCATATTAAAAATTGTCTACTGAGTATAGAATTTTATACTGTTAATGAATATATAGACGACAAAACTGCTAGGTGGGAAATATGGCTTATTTTTATGTATATTAAATTATTTATCGGTGAGCTTGTTTGACTAGACATGTCAATGAAGTCATTTCTCAATCTTGACGCTCTGTATGAAATAAAACGAGGAGAAAAAACCAGCCCTTGCCGAGTTTCTTGCCGGTTCTTCTCATTACAAGATCTCCCGCCGTAGATTTACGAACCGATGGCATAGCTCTCAATTTTTACAAGTGCTTGTAACAGCCTAGACTGAATAAAAGATTTTGATTTGATTTAAACGATGAGACAGCGGCTGACACCAGAGAATGGAAGAAGACACTGTGCGGACTCCAAATAAATTGAAACCAGATCAGGAAATTAACGAATACATACAATCCGAAGTCCGATGAATAATTCTCCATTACAATATTTAAAAAAAAACGGACATGCGCAAATCGAACTCAGGAGTTCGACACGAAGGCTCCTCTTGTACCATACCATTATCCATAAAAATACGCAAAAAAAATCATGTTTGTTGTTTTTTCAACATTTTGTGCTTTTTTTCGGGATAAAGCTTTATGATGTGAAATATTCCCCCGTTTTTCAACACTTTTCAAAGCTGCTCACTCCTGTGGAGTCATAGCATATTGCTTTCTTCGATAAATGGACTATTGAACACAAAAAAAATAATTCAATTCGTTCCAGTCGTTCCTGAGATTATAGAGTTCAATCAAACAAACTCTTCAGATATATCATTAGTAGTATAAAGTAAAGATAACTGTTCATGTACTTTCTGTATGTCAAATAGAATTGCTCATTAATAGCGATATCGGCTAATTCATAAATAAATCCAATATTATTGATATTAAACTCTACGTTAAGCCAATATTAGCTATTTGCGATATACTTATATAGAATATTAATAGAAATGAGACTACATTAACGTATCTCAATTTCCTTACTAAAATATTATGCCCTTTTAACCGACTTCAAAATCTAAAAGGAGGAGTATATATTCTACGGTTATGTATATTTTTTTCCTTTTTTACACATACATAAATGTTCATTGATTTATCCACGAATCTTTGATCGATTTTAAAAAAATATTTTTAATTTAGTATGTTAAGCGACAAAACTCTCTTTAATTACTAATTTACGCCGAAAAATGGCTATCTTTAATTTTAATTTATCTATGTAACGGTGTAATTTGGCCTTCTTCGAATCACTTTCACATACATATGTGTACTAAAGACCAGTACTTTTGAAGTGTATATATACTTAAGTTCTGCCTACACCAACTACACTCTAAAAAATAAAACAAAATCAAATAGTTATAATATCTATCTCCATATCGAGTCGCCTAATAGCTAACTCGAGCCCTCAAGTATGCTTGCACTAAACTGGAAGTGTCGTCAATTATCTGTTTCTGTTATATGACATACATACAGATATTATACCGTTTAAATAATAATATTTATCGCAAACATTGTTTACCCTGGACTAATACGTGAATAGCCTACTCTATTTTTTGTTGCTTGTTTACAATAACATCGTGATGTTAATCTTCGATGGTCATCGTCGAATCGAGTAGCAAATTAGACTTATGATTTAAGTCAGTAAATATTTTGTAGACATTTAATAAAATAAACATTATATTAAGTAGGGAATGTGGCGGACAATTTCTCCAAAGTATAGTTGCCTTTCTATTTATTTTTTGCAAAGTTCTAAATTGATTTCTGTCATTTTCACATTTTATTCTACTTGACATTCTGCTGTTTGTAAAGTTGCATTTAATATTTTATTTCATACATGGTAATTTGTCTTGTGGTCACCATTAAGGTCTTCTATAATGACAGGTAAAAAACAAAGCTAAATAAAATCAAAAAACTAGTCAATGAGGCTTGGCGATAGAAAATATAATTTGTGCAAAATAGTTATTTTTGTTACCATTTTTATCTTTGGCTTTAATTTGTATTTTTCTCTTTTGATAATACTATAAGAATTTTTACCTTTATTAAGAAGAAGAGATCTTTATCCTTCTTGAAGAAATAAAATATCCTTAGGAATCGATTTAAGGCAGGTGAAATACAATTGCTGGCATACAAGTAAATGATGATTACGCAAACTCTATTGACGAGGCCACTATGCTTAAACGCACTGTCCGGCTAAATCTCGTAACAAGTGTTGTCAGTAGAAAGTTTATAGTTGTACAATGACTGGTGACGTTTAAGACTGTTTGGTCGTTATGGTAAATTCAGTTGTGCTTTCAGAATTTGTTTCGCGATAGCAGAAATCGAAACGGCCTGTATTGTCTTAGACTCTACCGTATGCTAATTGTGGCAGTGATGTTTATTGTACAGTTTTAGAACAATTCTTCGTGCTTAAGAAAACTTTTATGTAATTTTAACTTTAAATACCATTATACAAAATGTTTTGTTTTTTATTTATTTATTACATTAACTGCCTCTTGAGTTTATTTGAGTAAAAAAAAAATAAAGTGTCTACTATAAGAGTTTTATTTATTTATGGTTTCCCTTCAGGTCGTACCTACAATGATCTGAACCAATATCCAGTGTTCCCTTGGGTACTCACCAACTACGAAAGTGAAGAGCTAGACCTCAGCCAGCCTTCCAACTACAGAGATCTCTCTAAGGTAATGTTTAGCGGAATGGTAATTCTGAGCCTAAATTATCTTAGAGTTTATCATTTCACGTAAATTGTTGATTGTTTGATTCAGCCCATCGGTGCCTTAAATCCAAGCCGACGCGCATACTTCGAGGAGCGATACAACACCTGGGAGCACGATTCGACGCCGCCGTTCCATTACGGCACGCATTACTCCACCGCCGCCTTCGTGCTCAACTGGCTCGTTAGGATTGTAAGTATCAGAATCCTTACAAATATGGATGCAAATTTCAGAAAGTTCTAACCGTGGTCTCTAGTTTCAGTTTCAGAAGCATTAGAACATTCCATATCAATATAGACGCAAATTTCATAATATTCCAAACGTGGATAGGAGTTTTATATCAGTCCAAAAATGGACCAATTTATTTATTGTCGTTGTTTCGACAATATTTTGATTCGTACTTATTTATTTTCGACTTTCTATTTATTTATTTATTTAACATTAGTTGACATTTAAATAAGGGAAATAAAACCTATAACAAAATACATAAACTTACATAAACAATAAATGAAAATGAAAACAAATATTTTGCAGTTAATGACTTCTCATTGCATTGACAGCATATTGAAACGAACCGCAAAAATCTTTCAAACCATTAAAAAGCAAAGGACGTTTTGAGAAGACCCTGAGTCATTTTAAATATTGTCTTTTTTGTATTTCATACTTCAGTTTCCCTCAAGTGAATTATAACTTTTTGAATGAGTGATTGACAAGTCTTATATATGGCGCTTTTGCCATCAAACATTTCCTTGATCTACAAACTGTATCTAGAAGGTAATTAATTTTGTATATAAAAAAATATAAAAAAAAAACAAAAAGATATCGAGAACTATTATAAACCAAATTGCAGATCTATACGTAAATATTACTAATAGATGCTATTTATTCATAGATCATCTAAATGAGTTATGCATTATCGTATACTATGTTCAATAGTTTGGCCTCAATCCAAATACGTAAGTGTTTTATATCACTTAATTCCTGTTAGTCATTCGCAACCATATCTACCATCAGGTACAGTATCTATTTTAACTCGAATGATTGATAATACAATTGTAAATGTAATGTAAGTGAGTGTCGCCGTGAGTTGTGAGTGTAACGTTCAAAGGGATGGTTGTTTATTAGATGGTACATTAACGCCCGACTCGGCGGCGGCGCGTCAATACAATCAACTATGCGCACGCGACGAGCGGCGACAGATGTTCGTTGCACAGAATGTGTCTTTTTTTTAAATTTATTTACTCGGCTTTCGTCTTTAAGCGTTGAATTTTAAGTGTGTCACATTCATTTACTGTTACCTATCAAATCTGTTGCTTTAATTTTTGTTAGAATGACAAAAATATTTTTTCTACCAGTAATGTTTCGTTTTTGGCAGTTTCATTCGGATTGATTGTTTCTTTGTATGTGTGTATGTTTGTTTGTTTATTTGCATAATAATATAAACTATTGGACCGATTTTACAAATTCTTTCACCTACGGGTAGGTACATCATATCATACGAGGGTGATGTGCTATAAAGTAAACTTTGACGTATCTAATTATATAAGAAATGAAATAAACAACTTAACTTCTCTTCTAATATCCAGCAAAAGGCTTAATAATAAAACAGTTGTTTTATAACTAAACAAATAAAAAAACTAAATTGTTTATTAACTAAGTTGAGTTGAATAATAAATTAAGATATTATTATCAATTAAGGAAAAGTACCGTACTTATTACCTATCCTATTAGAAGTTTAAGATCTACGAGTACCTATTAAATTGATTTTTTTTTAAATGACCTCTCAGGCCTTTTTACGAATTATTTTAAATGCACAGAGAATCGCCTTCTAACCGCATTTTTATTTTGCTGGTCAAATAAACAGCCGCTGAGAAGTCAGTGCTGTAAAAGTGTAAAACTTCACATTTTGATCCCTCGTACACATTATTTGAACTGCCGCATTTCGAATATGACGTTTTTATGTATAAGTGCAATCTCAATAAACTCGCAAGATCTTACTCAATCACGCTAAAAAAAGGGCAAGACCTCACGAGAACGAAATTGGATTCCCTAGCCACAAGGTATCCCGCTCGAAGAAACGTTCTGAATCTCTGGAATATGCGCATTTGCATACCTCTTTGTATTGATTAAGAAGCCGACCACACTATCAGCCGATAAATGTCTATAGTCTGCGGGGATAGAGATATGTATTGTTTATTTACAACGATCACATAATCCTTTTAGTCAATATACATTTTTTACGCTTGTCGTCCAAACAGAGCATACAGTCTCTTTTTCGGCTTTGTTTCGGATTTCCATAACACTAGAGATTTAACTACTTTACTTGGCGAACATTGCACGTGATTTCTCTAATATTTATTTAATATAGATAAACTATTTATAAGTAAGTTGGCGGAAAAACACAGTAGATCTTTGTAGATATGAAGACTAAACACCTATGTTTATTCAGATGGGTGAATATAACGTTCACTTGAATACAAAATATGTGTATAAAACTAATTATAACATTTGATTAATGTGCCAAAAATAGATAAAACAAGAATAACAAGACTATAATAATGAGGCTGCACGCTTCTTTCATTGGCAGTAGTTGGTAACACAAATGGTTATTTAGAGAACTATAGTCTAATAGCGCTATTAAAAACTACATTATAATATTATTTTTCAAAATTTACTAGTGATCATAAATCTAAAGACAGCGTCATGAAATTGCAAGACCAAAATGATATAGGTAGTAAATACTTAAACATTATACCAACCCATTCAAAACTCACGAACGACAGAGTGTGAACCATTTTAAGAAGTTCTATATAAGCTGTACGGTACTGCAAAAATTGCAAGTTGATAGGATGCAATCGCTACCATCTCTGGCTTAGATACTCTTACCAGACTTTTCTCGCCTGCTCAAGTATGTAAGCCGACGCCTTTCGCATTTTTCCACAATTTAATTATATCTGGAAGGTAAGACCAACAGCTGGATTATTGGACGTATCAGAAAGGCAAAGAGCTCTTTTTAAACACCACTTTTAATAGTACAATGTAGACTAATTCGATTTTTTTTTTCGAACTAAAAAGAAAATATATATTTTCCATTAGGAGCCAATGACAACAATGTTCCTGGCACTGCAGGGCGGCAAATTTGACCACCCGAACAGACTATTTTCGTCCATTGCCCTCTCGTGGAAGAACTGTCAGAGGGACACTTCTGATGTTAAGGTGAGATCAATATCGTATGATTTTTATTTTATATATTTCTTTGTCATATAAACCGGCCCAATACTATTTAATATTTCTGCATATTTTAAACCCATTGCGGCTTAAGTAAAAAGCCGTACAATTATAATTGTGAAGATAAAAACTAGTACGTAAATAAAACATGACAGGAACATTTGTTTTTTCCTTCTGCAAATTCTTTAATTTCTTTTAAACATTTATTAGAAGTAACACGACGCTTTTCTAGATAACTGTAATGGTATTGTAAACCTATTGTTCTTGTGACAATAATCATTCAAATATTTACGCAACTATCAAATGAGTCGTATCGGTGTCGATCCGCTCGGTTACAAGCCGCAGCCCACTTCTTATCGACTGTTTGACGACATTCTATTGAACGTGATCTTACAAAATCCATTGAAATAAATACTTTCGTAATCAATAAAAGAAATAAAGTGAACAATCCACCTATGAGTACTTGTTAATTACGTACAAATTGATATTCATAAACAAAATTAATATGCGTAAACAAAATTAATGTGCATAAACAAAATTAATATTACTGTAAACTTTTTTATTACTCGTACCTACAAAATACTCATAGTATTTTGTTACAACTCTTCAATGGTTTCTTAGTAATAAAAAACATATTATACATGTATATTATTACATATCATCTATATTACATATCATAGTGTAATGACGTATGGTCTATTGTTGTGCGGTTCTGCGGCTAGCATTCAAGATATATTTATTCTACAAAAGAGAGCTGTCTGTGCTATATATAATGTACGGTCTAGGGAATCTCTCAGAGAAATATTGAAATAAATATTTTTTTGACTGTTGCCTCTCAATACATCTATATATGAAAATATTATATACGCAAGAAAACATTACGATTCCTTCACAAAAAAAGTAGTGTTCATAATCTTAAAACAAGAAATAAAAATAAACTTGCCATTCCAAACTGCAGACTTCAAAAAACGACGACGAACAATTGACCTACCCATAAATAAATTTAAAATTCATGTAAAAAACATACTTATGGGTAAAGGGTTTTATAAATTTAATGATTATTTTAAGGACCGTAATGCATGGCATTAATAGCCTGCGCTTTGTTCTATAATGACTAATTATATGTAGCAACCTGTGTCCTAGAGACTTTGAAAGTTGTATTTATTATTGTTATAATACGTATTGTTTTGGTAATGACATGATTTATGTAAATGTCATTACTTATGATAAAGAGCTGGAAAAAATTTATTTCGTTTGTTCTTCTTGTCAGCTAAAACACGTCCTGAGGAAGTGGTAGGGGAAAAAGAAATTTTGGACGATTCAAAAGTGCTTGAAACAAGCTTAGGTACTTGAATAAAGATATTTTAATTTCATATAAAATAAGGGAACGAAATAAAAATCATCTATAAAGTCCGATTAGCAGTAAGTGACTTAAATTTAACCAACAAAATTTAACTCAGATGTCCTTAAAAAACTACGAAAATACTAAATAGAACATTTCATGACATTGACTAAAACAATATTATAATAACTAATGTGAACGCGTTAAAACTAAAAAAATATTGTATTTATTTTAATTATTTTATGTTGTTTTAATTTTCAAATCCGATCAGGAATTGATCCCGGAGCTTTTCTTCCTGCCGGAGATGCTGATCAACAGCTCGGGCTATCGGCTCAACATACCGGAGTCTCCGTCCGGTGACGTCATCCTTCCACCCTGGGCCTCCTCCGCTGAGGAGTTCGTTAGGATTAACCGTATGGCGCTAGAATCTGAATTCGTCAGTTGTCAACTACACCAGTGGATAGATCTCATATTCGGATACAAGCAGAGAGGTGAGAAGCAATAGATGATTAATAAAGTGTATGATTCGTAAAAATCATGGACAAAGACTCTTTTGATAATTATCTGGGACCCTAAGTCGTAAGCGTTGTCTAAGAAGTGCAGCTACTAAAATATTACATTTTTATTCTTATTGGTAAGTCGTTCGCAGGTAGGTAACGTTTTGGAAACTTAATAATGTTCAAAAACTGTGTAACAGTCTAACAGATATCTGTTATATTATTCTTTTCATGTGAATTTACGAGTTGTTTGTATGAAAATGTGTGAACTTCAGGACCCGTGTACGTGCTGATTCGTCAGAACTCTAATTTTATTATTAGCATCTCAAACAAAATCACATAATCTGAGGCTGATACCCCAAACAATTAGTTTCTTGATCTTGCACTATTCTTGTGGTTATAGAATTTTTCTGCTACAAAAATAAAACAAAGCGTCAGTCCACCATACACAAAATTTAATTCAATTCCGAAAATCAAACATATCAATTCCTAAAAGTCAACACATAATTTCCGAACAGGGCCCGAAGCGGTGCGAGCGACAAACGTCTTCTACTATCTCACGTACGAAGGAGGCGTTCGATTGGATCAAATCACAGAGCCCGTGACAAGGGCCGCGGTGGAGGATCAGATACGTAGTTTCGGACAGACTCCGGCTCAGCTGCTCAGCGAGCCTCATCCGCCCAGAGCGTCCACGATGCACTTGGCTCCACTAATGTTCGCCGCGGCCCCAGACGATGTCTGCTTACGACTTAAACTGCCTTCCAATGCCGCCGTGGTACACGTGTCTGCCAACACATACCCGCAGCTCGCGATGCCAGCTGCTGTTACTGTGAGTCCATTATTAATAGTATTTCAATTATTAACTGGTTCTAATATGATAGGTATAAATGCTGTAATATGATCTTTACAATTTTTAACAATGGCTGATCATGCAATCTACTTTTGTGTATGGGCAGTAATAACTAATATATTAACAATTTGTAAATCGACCAACTCATGTTTTCATTTTCGTAATAAACTTAACTATTTATACAGTGCAGTATGTACCTTTTACTACTTTCAATTTTCTCGAAATTTTGAAACTACTCTTCAAGACCCCACAGGCTGTCACTGTTCGAGTCTGAGTAATATCAAGATTCAGTATTGCATATTAATGTTATGTATGTTCGTTTAGGTAAGTGCTGCCCGTGCGTTTGCTGCGCACAGATGGGTGGGCGGAGGATGTGCGCATGCGGCAGCACGACACGCTGACCACACCCCGCCCCCGCCACACCCCCTGCTGATGGACCCCGTTTGGGGTGAGTACAACAGTAATAAAGTTATTTTACCGCGACTTCGCTCCCGTAAATTATATCCTAAAGCACCCATTCATGATATAATTTCCCGTATGTGAAATAATTTTCATGATTGGATCGCTATTTCTGAAACTCATCCGCCTACAAATAAACAAAGTCAGAAACTTTACCTCTTTATGATATTACGTGCTGTTTTCCTGTGACTACACCCGCGTAAATTATAGCCCGGGCTGGTCCATCCATGAAGACAAACTAGGCAACTACCTAGAGTGCTCGTATGGGGGGCGATGACATGGCATGCTGTGGCAAACAGATTATGTTTCTTACTATTGTTTGAACTTTTTTTCTTTTCTTTGAAAGTGAGTCCATGTCCACGGTATAAAAATTTAAAAAAAAATTTAAGTTCAGCAGTACCTAAGGTGTTTTTTGTCATTGATAAAATTACAATCTTTAATTGGTGTAGTACATACATTATTTTTTTATGATTTTTTATTATGCCTTTTATTTTGTTGTGATTTTTTATAGACTCATTCCAGTGTTTTGCCTAGGACTGGATTAGGACTAGATTATTTGCGTAGGTGTAAGACTTTTTAAAAATGGTCCAGTATTTTCATTGCCTATTTGATGCAAACGAACAAACAAAATTTGTCTCTTAATAATATTACTATACATATATACGTATATATGGAGTAGGTCGGTGGCATAGTGGATAAGCGCCGGCGACCGCGATCGTTGTTTTCAAGCAACTTTCGCAATGAATCTGCCACAGGATGGGTGACCAAAAAAATATTATTTCGTGCTTTCGAAGCACGAAATAATATTTTTTTGGTGGCATGATAAAGTTGATGATAAAGATGATATATAGTATAGATTGTAACGAGCGTGTGATTGTGTTCAGCTGCGGGTGGTGCGCAAGCTCTGGGGCGGCGTCAGCTGGGTGATAACTTCTCACAGCGCGTGCGCGCGCGCAGCAACTGCTTCGTCACCACCGTCGATTCTCGATTCCTCATCGCGGCCGGCTTCTGGGACAACAGCTTTAGGGTGTTTTCTACAGAGACTGGTCAGTATAGCTTTTATTGTTTGACGGGAAAACATCGACTACTACTGGCAACACTAAGTGTCGATTTCGCTATGGGCATTTTTACACGCCCAATATACTTCCGGGTTGTCATTCTTGTAAAGTTAATGGAGTCGAGAAGGCCATTTTATGTAAATAGCTATATACCATTAAAATTTTAAAATTTGTCTTTCATTATATATTTTATAAAGGTATGAAATAGATTTGCCGTCATTAAAAGTTGATTAAAATACCGACGGCTATTATGATTTTCACAATAAGTAAAATTTCACTAAAAATAAATATAACTAATGTCTCTCATTTCATTATTACTTTTGACTATGTTTAAAACTATTTGTTTTCGCGTTATTACAAAGTAAATGTTATTTTTATCATATTTTTTTAAATTCTCCATATTAACATATAATTACATTTTATTAACATACCAAAATTTATTTATACCATATTATTTTAACAGTATTTTAGGGATTATTCATGAATATTTCAATAATTAATAAATAATTTATTGTGCTATTTATACTTTTTTTTAAATGACGTCACGCGGGTGTTTATAGACAAGCTTCCAGCGCATTAGCAATTGACGGGGCTTATATTCATTAAAATTGTATGTACTCACAGTATGCATTGCTTTATTTTTATCTTCCACTATTTTCAACTCTTACCGACTACACTTTTAGAAACTCTTATAATTTTCGTATTTATCTCACTCTCTTCTTCTCTGTTTAGTTACTTATTGAACGTTGTTTGTTCACAGCTAAAATAGTACAAATAATATTCGGCCATTACGGCGTGGTAACGTGTGTGTCGCGCTCAGAGTGCAACATCACATCCGACTGTTACATCGCATCCGGCTCGGAAGACTGTACAGTTCTACTGTGGCATTGGTGAGAACTAGCTCATTTATTTATTGATCACTACCTAATAACATTGACGTGCTTTCTAGAGAATCTTTTAATCGGATAAAGTTTAACAGTTAGTACAGGCTATGATCAATTTAAATATCAAATTTCACCTAATTTCAGTCGATTCGTTTGCGACTTATTTATTACGAGTTGCTTTCTCACGACTTCGCCTGCTTAAATTATAGTCTATTTCATCAGCTTATGATGTACACACGGCTGCATGTCAGACTATACATGGTGGACAATGTACCGACCGCACTTACCCCCTAACAAAGGTCTGCTTATGCTGGTAGTGTGTAGCGTGACGTGCAGCCGTGCGTTAATAGTACCCGTGTACGATGTAGGTTCTCGTAGGTGAAAGAAGTTGAAAGGGGTAACCCTACACATTAAATTGATAATTGATAGAATGATAAGGAGGATGTTCTGAGGAAATGATACAACCGAGTCGAATGGTTACAATATTCGAACTGATTTATTTTTACGCTAAATGCGACAGTATACATAAATGCTTACCCGTCACAATACAAATCCGCGGCAACCATAAAGGCGCCGCGAACAGCACAAAATGTGCGGTACACCGTACAGAAGTTTTAAAATGCAGTCCAGTAGATTCAGATTTTATTCAACGCAAACAAACAATCAAATATTTCCTTTTTATAATATTAGTATAGAAAAGTGAGAGTGGCAACTGACGCCGTACATATATCTACCTTATTGTACTGATGGCATCAGTTCTACCAGAGTTGTCTTCGCAATTAGACATTCTGTCCACTGGTTCGGATGACTTAGCTGCAAACAGTAGAAAATGTCGTTATTTACATACTAAGAAACAAATTGGAAAATAAAAATTCGGTCAATTTGGCGTTTTCCATTAAAATGTCTCTTACTTTATCACTAAACAGGCACTTAACAAAACCTTACCTACCTACCTTAATGTATGTGGATAATGTTTTGTATAAATTGACGACCTGCGTAGCCGAGTGGCAAAAGTGTTCAGTTCACCATCTCTGAAGTGCAGGCGGATTCCCAGTCGGGTTAAAGCGGAAAATTAACTTATCTATCTTATCTCTGGTTAAGGTGATACGTTGCCTTGGTTATAACAGATTTTTATTTGTTAGGACAACATACAAAATATACACATATTAAAATGCTAGTTACAAATTATACGTCATTAAAGTTTATATTTTGTTTTATTTACAAACTGCCACGGCATGCGTTGACAGTAATTACTAAAAACAATAGATGTTGATGCCAATTTTGTTTTGCCACTCTGTAAATTGTTCACAAAATTTCCATATTTAATTTAAATTACTCGTGTCTGTCCAACATAATTGCCACCATTACAGTTCTATATTTACACTATAACAAGAAATTTCCATAATACAAATGCTAAAGCTACTTAATATGATATCTCAGCAATGTATATGGGTATAATATAAGTAAAAAAGTATAATAATGTGGTTATCAGGTCTGCACGCGCGGGCGGTATAGTGGGTGAGGGTGATACTCCCGCCCCGCGCGTTACCCTCACCGGTCATCTGGCCGCCATCAACGCCGTGCTCGTCTCCGCTGAACTAGGACTCGTCATATCCAGCTCGATCAGTCAGTATACATATCACACTTATTATCAAACCCAACTTTCGTAAATACCTAGAAAATTGAAATTAAGAAGACGACGTTCAAAACTTAAAAGTACTTTTTTTATAATTAAAAATGTCTTTTATAACTATGATGCATATGAAGTAAGAAAATCTTGTTATTGGCTTACTTAATGAAATGTTATGAAAATTTACAAAAAGCTGTTAGTTTTCTAATCCATCCATTTACTCCATTATACAAGTGCTTTAGCTACTTATTTTGGAATCTGAGCTATGTATGTGATCAGTGTTACCAACCCTACCGTTTAACAATAGATGTGCTGTTTTCACATTGATGCCCCTGTTTTCTGTATCATTCTAATTTTTACTGTTGAGCAATTGAGTGTGAAAATGGAAAATCTTTCCTCTTTATAAAAGAAACTAAATTATATTTTCTTTTATATCGTTTCATTCTTTTGTGGTCAATATTATAAAATTAGTCATAAGAATAAAAAAAAAGTATGTGATTTCTACTGTGTTTTTTATTGGTGAGCTGTCGTTTTCTCGTTTCTTGTGGTTGGCAACACTATATGTGATGTTGTCTTATATTCATTGTTATTTAACGTATGTGTAGACGGACCGGTGTTGATCCACACGACTTTCGGGGAGGTATTGCGCGCGCTCGACGGCGCTGCCGGCCCGCCTCAGCAGCTGGCGCTCTCGCGCGAGGGGCTCGTGGTGGTGGCGGGCGCGCGCGGACGCCTCGCCGCCTACACGCTCAACGGACGGAGGCTGCGAACGCACACGCACAACGATCACTTCCAGGTGAGACACAATGACACGGGCATACTCTAGCGCGAGCGGCTCGTGCTGGTGGCGAGAACAAAATAGTGCATTCTTACAAAGGAAATGTACACTGTAGTTCCACTCGGGCGATCAATCACATTACAATGGATACCAAAATATATGACGCAACGATCAAGAGTACATTGTAGTTCCATTCGGGCTATCAAACATATTACATGAAATATGACGTCACAATTCTATTAGGATTGTCGGCATGCCCGACCACTCTTGCCCTCGGATCGCTCTAATGGCGGGTTTAGTTTATAAGTAGTTAACGTTTAAGTTGAAGTACACAATCTCAACTGATTATTCTCAATAATTTTAGTTTTTTACGTTTCACCGTCATAAAGTCATAGTTTTATCAAACTACTACTAACAGATAATTTAAAAAATTAAAATCAGAATCGATAACCTTCATAAGTGACTTTTAAAATGGTTTCAGTATGGTTTGAAATGTAATAACTTTAAATTCTTCATTTAGAGACCGGGCGTTAGTTAATACATGTAAACCAGCCATATAACTAAGTATTGTGTTGCCAGTGTCTCGCGTTGTCACGTTGCGGCGAGTACCTGGTGTGCGGGGGCGCGGCTGGCGTGGTGGAGGTGTGGCGCGCATGCTCGCTCGCGCCGCTGTACGCGTTCCCTCCCGCAGGCGCCGCCGTCTGTTCACTGGCACTCTCGCACGATCAGAAGTAACTCGCACACTTTTAATTTTATTTATTTAACTATTTAGCGCGAGCAACAAAAGCAATATGGTTACAACAGGACACTGCCATCTGTCAAAAGTTCATTTCCTACTCTAGTGGCCAAAACAATAGGGGGGTAGACGACTTTTTTATTTAAAAACAATTAATAATATAATTCATATATATTATTATATGAATGATATTAACACATTGACAAATGTCTTCAAATGATATACAGTTATTAAACTAAATTAAACAGGATTAATATTTCATAATGTTAGACTTTTTTCCTTACATTTTATGATAAATAATAACTGGGTTTGAAATTTGGATTCCGTGAGTCTGTTAGAAGTATCTTAGGATTTTGATTGTCTATGAGTCAATCACTGACAAAATTATGGACTTATAACTTGCAATAATTCTTAAAGTATTTATTCAAATTTAATGTTATTTAGAAATGTGCTTCTTTATGTAAAACTGGTTACTTTTTATGATTATTCGTACGTCCATTTATCACATCTACCTTCACTCCGCAACTACTTAACCGATCGGTGGTCTAAAAATTAGAAAATAGATCCTTATCTAAATACTATTCCAAGAAAATCTATGAGAAATGATAATTCACCAAAACGGATGCTCATTCGCCAGGTCCGCTGTATGCGGACTCTGATCATATTCTCTTTGCTAGATTGTCGATAGGTCTTCCTATCTTACTTCCTTATATCATTAATTCATGCTCAACTTCCAGAGAAAAGTATATCCGCTTTGATTACAGTACATGAATATTACTACTGAATTTTCTAAAACTGACACGACAACTTTGTTTAGGTTCCTACTAGCGGGACTAGAGAACGGTTCACTAGTCGTGTTCCACATAGACTTCAACAGATGGCATCACGAGTACCAGCAGCGGTACTGAGCCGCAGCGTGCGCGCGTTGCCGCCACTCGCATCTGTACCGACGTAGACTCTAATTTCTGCGCCCACCAACAGACGGCGCTAGGAGCGAATGGAACTAATTGCTATTCACAAAAGCAGTGTTAACGTCATCTATCGAAGAAACAAGGGTTACTGGGTTTATAGACATGTCGATTCCGGTCGATATTGATATATCATTTCACGAAAAAGCTAATATGGATATTTGTAGGTTTTAAATATTTCCTGATCTTGATTAATCTTTCAGTCGTATAAATTATATTAGAATATTTTACTTAAAATTTTCAAACAAAACATAATAAGGAATAATTCCTAAGCGCGCTGGGCAATACTGATTAACCGTTCACAAATCTCCATATGTCATATTATTATGTGAAGATCAGTCGCTGGGTGTAAATTGGGACAACTGATATACATTTAATCTTTTATCTTTTTTCCATATTAGGTTTCGATATATTAGTATTTTATTTTTCAATATCGATTTCGCTGTTTCTTTGATATCTATACCTGTCGATATTGGTGATATTAGCGACATATGGGTGTCGATATATCAATATGTATCGGTTTTCCGATATATCGTTTATCCCTATAAGTAACTCCGAAATATTAACATTTATTTATTATGTTAAAATGGCATTGTTCTTGTAAATGGCAAAATAGTATTTAAATTTAATTATTTCTATAAGTGTTAACAGTCATCGGTTGTAAGCGATAAATATTAAATGCCGTTTTGATAATTCTTCAGCTATTTTCGCGGCCCGTATGTACTTATTAAATATTAAGTGAAATTTTTAATCTTATGACATTCCATTGTTTTTATGAGTATTATTATTAGATTCTATATAAATTTGTACTTATGTCATTATTTTAAAAATGAATAATGCATTATTTGCACACGTTTTTAATTATTTAGTGCCATATGGAGTAAAATTATTACTGCATAACCTAACCTGAACGAAGAGCCTTAATTTCGATGTAATTAATAGATCTCCTATCGAAAGACGTCCATTATTGTGATCATATTTTCATAATATTACTTTTTAATTTAATGTTTGTACTAAATTAAATTATATTAAAAAGTGCAATATTTTGCTGAATCAATATTTATTTAATTCTTATTAATTATCTATCAATCATATTTGTATTACATAATTAGAGAGGCTTATTATTATTTACTTTTGATCACCTCTTTTTAACGAGTAACCAATTTTGAACTTTATTTTTATTTTTATAATGATTAAATTCCTACATTCCATTTGTGTTTGGTGTTGGGTAATTGTATTTTTTCCGGAATGAATTTGTTGTAATTTGGTTTTTATTAAAAGGTTCATATTTAGATTGGTTATTTTATTTTATTAGTTTTACCTTTAAGGTGTTACATTTTTTTTGTATTTATAATAAGTTGCCAGTTGTCAAAGGATTGTCAAAATAGGTATCTTATCGTCAGAAAATAAACCAAGAAAAATAACGGTACACCAACTGGATTTTTAAAATATTGAATTAACATAATTCTTATGGAATACCGCGAAAGTGCCAATGACATAGTCATTTTCGCTAATTAATGAAAGTCAATAAATAGTAGAAATCTAGTTAATTGTAACGGTAATGCTAATATTATTATGTTATGGCTACGGAATAATAGTTTTTTACGCAATCATCGTGTATATTATATTTATTCTACAATTTTAAGACAAGCGGCCATTTTTAGGAATGTGACAATGCGAAGATTATTTCTATCTCGTTCGTGTAACCATAGTATTGGTATTGATGAAACATAAAAATGAGGATTATCTGTTTGTCGTTGTCACGTTTAATAAATATGGCGGTTTATTTTTGCCTTCACACCCGCACGCTCCTTCCGTTCTGTGATCTAGGCTAATTTATGCACCTAGTCATAGAAAATCTTCATCTATTTCCTATCTCTGTGCCAAAATATATAATAACAAACATACAGACAACATCCGATAATACATTAACATTATGACACTTTCATAGAGCTTCGTAAACTGTTCAATAGTAGCTTAGGAGTTGTCTAGATAATTCTCTAGGTGGAATTTTTTAGTACCTACCTACTTCTAGTAAATTGTACAAACACTCGAACCCTTATTCTCACGTCCCACTGTAGTATTTACTTAGAACCCAAATTATACATATGTAGTTTTAAGGCAGTGGATCAATCACTCCATTTTCAACCTTATCCTTATTACTATAAGGCATGGAGTGGTGGCTACTGACGTCCCTATGTTTAGGTAAATCACAATGCTTAGTCTGATTGACATCTGTTCACGTCTTTAAATAGTTTTGCCGACTGCAATTTAACTTTTCACTTTTACAATGGATAAACTGAAACCTATCGAAGTATAACTGAAATAAGATATAAACAAAATTGCAATAAGTTGTAAGATCTTCCTATAATAATATTAGTTATATTCTTCCAATGTGATTAAGTATTCAAGAAACATATACAATTTTTTTTTTTCAAGCAAAAGGAGAAGCTTATGCTTTAATATAGTATCAAAAATTAATTCAAAAAAGCTTTCAAAAGCCCCATCGCACATACACACCGCGACGCGCTAAACAATTTTTAAAACTTAAAGCCGGATTTATATCTCGCCTACGCTGCGTATCGCTACGCATGAGTTAGATAATCGTTTTCATATATTTATTATATAAGCATCGTCCAGCGTATCGTGGGTAACGAATGAAAGCGATTACCTAACTACGCGCAGTGGCACACGACATGGACTTGATATAATTCCAGCTTAACTCACGCTGTTATGCAATCTGTCCATTAATGTTAACATAGTCTTTAAGTCGTCAATGTTGAATTAGAATGAAATAAAGTTGATATATATTTCCCTAGAATAAGGTACACCTTATGTATAAATGTAATAATCACTGTCCATTTAAATGTAAGCTAAAATCAATTGTAAACATTATTATATAACTAAGAATGTAGTAGATAATTCGAAGTTTGAATCACCTTTATAATGTAAGGTATTTATAAAGCATCAAATCATCACAAAAGCTGTAATAGTTGCCATGTGCTTTTTCTAAAATTTTAGAGGACACTCTATTTTGCTTTGCCGTTAAAATTCCACAGGCGCGTCTTATAAATCATAAAAAACATATTTTCGTCCCACTCTATCCACATGTTAAAAACTAAGTAACAATAGATTTATTAAAATTTCCGTTTCCATGAGCGCAATGTAATGAATGCCTAGTTTCACTATCACTTGTTGTTGAGCGAACCTTTATGATTGTAATAATAAAATAGTATAGTTCTTGTAGATGTAGCTACAGTTAGATTAGTTAATTTTTAGCTACTAGCATTTTTTTGACGTTTCAGTAGCGTAGCTTTGCTACGTGTCGTTTAAGAGTTGGTGTTTTATTAGATAATTAATTACTGCAAAAAAAATCCTTCACTGCGTACGTTAAGTTAAAATATAGAAGTAAAACATTGAAAGAAACTGCCATATTAATTCGTCGTGAAAGAAATACTTGAAATAGAAAAGAAAGAAAACAATCATTAGGAAATTGCGCCTGTAGAAATTATTCATGCAAATATGTCAGAAGAGCGCTTTAGCATTTGTTTAAGAAAACGGATTGTTGCAGTTAGATTTTTTTATTGTTATTCATTCACAATGTTTGATTCCTTAATTGTAAGCAGTAGGCTAATTATTTGAGAGTTTACTAGCATAACCTAGTGGCATAGTTTCATAAATAAAATTAGATTTGTTCTTGTGTGTTCGGAAATTGTTAAATCTTAAATAATATAATAATAATGTATCACCTACTAAAATTCCTGCACACGCTTACTTTACACTAACTTTTACATGCATAAGTCGTTTCCTTTAAGCCGAATTTACAATACGAAACTGGTATCGCGATACTAAAAACAAGTCAACTAAAAACCAGTTTCACAAAACTAAAAACCAGTTTCACAAAACCAAAAACCAGTTTCACAAAACTAATAATAAGTTTTAAGAAACCAATCTCGGCACAAAACTGTCGTAATGGTGTACAATCTACAGTATCTCTAAGACAGGCTCTTTCAACAACAAAGCTTAACTATGCGCAGATGGTGCCGCAACACTAGTTACACCATGTAAATCAGGGTAAAATTAGTTGCATAAAACTAGTTTCATCAATAATATGCGCATCACAGAATTACTTCAGTGTCATGAAACTATTGTATGCATTACGAAACAGAACGTTTACACGTGCAACTTTTGGCGAAATGAATTCAATGAAACTAGTTTCATGCAACAATTTTCATAATGTAAATTCGGCTTTATAGCTGATCATGCGTATTTACTTTACTTATGTTTCAGACACGTCTAATTTATATCTTATAGGGCAAAGATCCCTATTGAAAAATTTCTGTTATGCTAAGTATATGGTGCGTTTGTATGTAATGAAATGATCTTGAGTAATAAATAAATTGCATTGAGTAAATCTTTTTTTGATTCACTCTTATTTATATTCCTATAAATGCTAAGAGATCGTGACAAAAATGTGCAAGAGCATTCTAAATCTTGATATTTCAGTATGTTGAAGTACTAAGAATATACAGCATTCAGTATCCTGAACACCTGGTGGTAGGTTAATTTAAAGTACGAAAAATCGTAACACATGTGAAGGGTTCGATGCTTGGGCGAATGAATGAAAGGCTGACTAAGCTTGAGAACTTTATTATACGGTAATAAAAAAAGGGTAAATAAAAACTGTAACAAACATAAAATTAATATAAAAACAGTTCGTATGATTACTTAAACATATAATTACAATTATTAAATAGAGCAAATACATACCCCGTTTCTGGGTTTCTGTAATACTTATATTAATTTGGACGATATTTCACAAAGATATATAACAATATTCTTATTTAAATTATAATAACTTAATTATGTATTATTAAATTTTTTTGTATTTAAACTTATATTATTACCTTATCATGTTCCCACCAGATGAATTTTTCACGAACTAACATTCATAAAGAACATACTTATTGGATTAGTCAAAACTTCAAATTACGAAAGGTGAATAATAAAAAGAAATGATGTTAAATATCAACGACAAAAAGTTTGCATACTGAAACCTAGGACGAAATAATCTTCTGTTTATTCTATTACTTCTGTTGTCAAATATTTATCTATATTTATCAATTGTCTAAAAAAAATTGATAATGACAAATTTCCAGGCAAACTTTCATCCCCTATTTTTCGCGATAAAATGTAGCCTATGTCCTTTCTTAAAGTTAAGTCTATTTACTATATTAATTTCCATTTAGATGAGTTCAGTTGTTTTGGCGTCTAAGCGTAACAACACTTATTTATCTTACCTTAAGTTATCGATACTTTTAATACGATTGTAAAATCTAGCTAAGTTTGCTAAAGCATATGCAGTGATATATACAACTATATTAAATCATCATATAAAATATAGCATTTTATAATCAACAATAAATATCGATTATAAGTTTATTAGAAATGAACAATATTGCAGAAATAAATATCGATTCAAATCGATTATTTGTTCCCAAGCCTTATGAATTTTCCGGATCTCGGACACAGCAGTGCACAAGCGTAAACACGTTTTTCATTGCCGCCATCACGGACCTGAAAAAACCGGTCCGGAATAGAGAAAAGTAAAATTCCGGACGGTAAAATTCCTGACAGTGCACAAGCGCGCATTACCTACATATGGCCTGACATATCGGACCTGAAAAAATCGAACCGCCGGGCATGAAAATTCAGTGTAGTGCACAAGCGCCCTTACACACATATATATTAAAAATGCTTTCTAATAATTTATAATATTGAAATTGTACAAACGTGAAACGAGGCGACTGAGTAGATTTCAGAAGTTGGTATAAAATTCCCTCCGAAGGAGTTTCCTTATGTTTGAAAGTTAATATATTATTAAACTGTTAGTAGTTAGTTTACAAAAAATACTCAGACTATTCTTAAAAAAAATACTTAAAAAAATAACCACTTTGTACCTGATACTCTGAGATGGGATTCAAACCGACGACCTTCCCCAATCCGGGCGACTACTCTAACCACTGAGCTTCCCAGGACTTAACAGGACAGGAATTTTTCAAATACTTGTTACTTTTTGTTGTATCGCTACTATAAAGCGTATTTTCATCAATTTTCAGGCAATCCACCCTCTAGTTCATGAGAAGTATGGTTAAAAGTCTATGTGACTGATACATAAACTTCTACAAAATATAATGCGATTTAAATCTCAGATGATATGAGATTTCAATCGCATTATGATAAATCGGGAACTTTAATTTCTAGTAGACAACCGTAGGGAAATAGGATAAAGACGTCTTGATACTTGCAATATATTGATATAATAAAAACCTGACCGAATTCTGAAAACGGCAAATTATGACATAGATTATCCATCTGCGTGCGATATAATATACATTCTATATTAGCAACATCTATTATACAGTGGTGGCCATATAAAGAATGATTTGTAGATATAAAATGTTTTAAATGAAACTTGCCCAATATTTTTAAATATTACTTTTAGTAAGTATCTACTTATGTATTAAGAGAGCCAGTTAGTAAAGATAAACTAAACTATACTCCATTCATTATAACATTAGAAAAAAAGAGGGTCATAGAAGCAGCAGTGCAGAACATTTTATTTTTAAGATTAATTTAAAAAATATATATTTTAGTTTTGTTGAAACTTTGAACGTTAGGTAGTTTGAAAGTGCTAGGCAATTTTCCATTTTTTACGATACCTCGGAGGGTTGAGATGAGGCCAGCATTTTCTTAATTCATCTTTCACGCCCAAGCCAAGCATAATGTCAAGGTTATTTTTTTCTTTTTAAATGGTTTCACGATTTTCCCTTTTTTGCATTATTTTTGGACAATTAAGTTATATTTTTTTTAATTTTATTTAGCTTTTTACTTTATTTTTTTATTATATTGTGTCGGGGGTCTTTTAAATTTTTAATTTAACTATTTATTTTTTCTTGCATTTTTAGAGTCCTTCATTTTTGATTAATTTTCTTGCAAGTTGCAATTCAGCTAATATGGCGATTATCTTTTTCTAGTTCTTTTAGTTTTTCTACTTTCGTACAAGTATTTCATAGTTATATAATTAGGTATTTATCTTAGGTATTTCAGATCTAGTTTCTAAGATGGGACTCAATTCTATTAAAATAGCTATAACATTGGTCATCCCCACTTTTACTCCCTCCCCCCCTCTTAATTTGAAACTGCTACACCGATTTAAATCTAACTTACCATATAATAATATAAGTTCAAATTACTTCACGCTTTCAATGGCTAGTCTATACTAATATTATAAAGCTGAAGAATTTGTTTGTTTGCTTGCTTGCTTGAACGCCCTAATCTCAGGAACTACTCGTCCGATTTGAATAATTATTTCAGTGTTAGATTGTGGTAACCCGACATGTGACTTTCTGTACCTATTATATAATTTCGCACTTTTATGATGGCGACCATCTTGGATTTGTAATTTGTCATAGCGTACCTATAGTATTCTATTTGATATCCGTATTGAGGGAGTCATAACAAAATATGTAGGTAATCCAACATTTTGTGGCGGCGGTCATCTTGTTTATAAAATTTTGTCATAGTGTTCAGTGTTCTACTACTCAAGCCCTTATATTTGATACCCATATTGATGGAATGGTGATAAAATATGTAATCCGACATTTTGTGGCGGCGGCCATCTTGAATCGATTTTCATCAAAGTGAAAAACACTCCCGACTAATACACCTTTCAAACAAAATCAAAATCGGTTCATCCGTTCGGGAACTATGATGCCACAAAAAGACACAAACACACCACACACACACAGACACACAGACATGTCAAACTTATAACACTGCGTCGTTTTTACGTCGGGGATTAAAAATACATTGAATTTAGAAAAAGTTGTTTGATATGCGGATCTCCGATAAATTTGATATCGGTCGAATTGCATCGAGCCATAAGTCTAAGTTAATCCTCATTACGTAAGTCAACTTCTAGTGAAAGTCTCTTCAAAATCGGTCAAGCCGTTTCAGAGATTAGCCAGAACTAACAGACAGGCAGATAAAATATATTATTTTTGTATATGTACCATATATACACACAAATGTATTTAGTGAAAAGCGGTTATTTTAATATTACAAATATGCACTCCAAGTTTTATGTACTAGTATAAGTGTATTGAGAGAAAAAGTACCTTGCTTTATTTGCATTTATTAATATAAATATATATTTTAACTTTCTTATACAAATATACCTAGGGGTCTTTCGACCTATGCTGATAATAACAAATATGTATTAGAAATAATTCAACAAGCTATATAAATTCCATATAAATGGAACTTCGTGACCAAAGTAGGAAATCCCACTATACTGCTCTATTAACGCTCGCTCGAACGTATCTAGATCGAAAAATGGCGCGAAGTAATGCGACACAAATCTAACGTTGAGGAGCGCTCGCGCGGTACGTTGCATGATCTGCTCGCAGCTGTCATCCATGCTGACTATGAGCAAATTAAGTATAAGTTTCAACTGATATAAAAGAACTTACACATATAAATTCCTGCAAATTGAACAAGAGCTCCTGATTCACAGGCTTATTTTTTTTTGTTCTAAATTGTAACCCATCATAGCGTATGACAGTTTTCTTTGGAAATTGGTGGTTGGTTTTAACTTTGTGTCAAAAACAGTAGAATATGTATTTTTCATGTAGGTAATACTAATTAGGCTGAACATTTATCTTGCACGCAACTTAATATATGGTTACAGAAAGCCTCATGTTATTTCAAATGTTACATAAAACTGAGCTGCGGCTAAGCTCATTTTATTTTATTTTTAAAATTAAAAATAATTCAGAATAAAATCTTATAAACAGTATATTTACCTGTTTAACAATCCTTTAAACATGATGATGATATGATGAATAATCCTTTATAATATTATAATCTCCAAATAAAAAAGTGAGTAATACTTATGTCAGAAAAAAAATATTCATAATTATAATTTTTTAATTAAGATTATTATTTGATCATATTTTCTTTTTAATGTTATTGATAAATTTACACCCCTGTCTTCATAAATTGTTCTCTCTCTCTCCATCCCATGATTGCCTGGAAGAAATCACTTTAAGCATAAGCCGCCAATTGTTATTATTTTATTTTACCTATATAACTTGTGTAATGTTAACAATAAAGAATTTTCTATTCTATTCTCTATAATGGTATTATTAATATAGTTTTGGTGAACTTCCTAAACATAAATGAGCATATGCTCACTAGTAATGCAGTAATTCTTAAATTCACAAAACCTGCTGGTTATCTGGTAGTTAAATTGGTTTTAGCAGACGCCCAGACTGTGAGTGTTTATGGGTTTAAATCCCACCTCAAGCACTAATTGCTTGAAGTGGGTTTTTTAATTATTTTCCTTTAAGATAAATATCAATATAGTATTGCAAATGCAAGTGATCAGAAAAAATAATGATAAATTAATTAATTTTAAACAAGGACTTTTTCAGTGCCATTTTTATTGGAATTCCACACATGCTTGTAAATACACACTTTTAAGTTTTCCTGTAAAAATACTACAATAGTTTACTTTTTTCAATACAAAATATTCAAAAATTCATGTTTTTATAATCATAGATAAGTTTACTTAAAGCCAAAAGCCCCTACAATCTAATAATGATTTTTACGATGTTCCTATTTACAATGATTGTTTATAATTATGTAAAGTTTTAACAGAAATATAATTATTGATTTTAATTTACATTACATGCCTCAACTAGGTGGACCTTATTTATGTTAAGAATCTACATAATATGAATTTAACATTTCAAATTGATAGAGGAATGAAAACCTATTAATTTATCTATAAAATTTAAGTTTTTAATAAAAAATAATAATTTAAGATTAATAATCAAGATATAATTTATTTTATTTTTAAAGTCTGCCAACATTTTTACATATCAATAAGCAACCACAAAATTACAGAACTATCTATAACAAATAGATGAAATGGTGTACATAAAAAGTTTATTAAACATATGCATGCACTATCACACTTGTTTATCTAGCTCCATAGTTTTCGATTTCATTTTTTTTCTAAATTTTACATAATTTATATCATGGATTGCTATGTTCTCATGAGGTAGATGAGGAATCTGGTGTTTGATACCCAGATTTTGTATATTTACTTCAGAC